GGGGTTTCACCATGTTGACCAGGATGGTCTCGATCTCTTGACCTCGTGATCCACCCGCCTCGGCCTCCCAAAGTGCTGGGATTACAGGCTTGAGCCACCGCGCCCGGCATCTGCTGTTTTTTTCTCTTTTTTTTTTGAGATGGGAGTCTTCACTCGGTCGCCCAGGCTGGAGTGTAGTGGTGTGATCTCGGCTCACTGCAACCTCTGCCTCCCGGGTTCAAGCGATTCTCCTGCTTCAGGCTCCTGAGTAGCTGGGACTACAGGTGCATACCACCACGCCCAGCTAATGTTTTATATTTTTAGTAGAGATGGGGTTTCACCATGTTGGCCAGGATCGTCTCGATTTCTTGACCTCATCATCCACCTGCCTCGACCTCCCAAAGTGCTGGGATTACAGGCGTGAGTCATCACACCTGGCCTACTTCTGCTATTTCTATGGGAAATAAATATAATGCCAATGCTAATTTTTAGTTCCATGACTAAATTATGATCTAAACCCATGTGTTCTTCTTGTGATAAGCAATGTGTTGTCAGTCCTAGTGGGTGATAATTAAGATGGTACTGCCTACACTTGTGTAGTGTAAAAAAAGAAAAGCACAGCCTGGGCAACATAGTGAGACCCCACCTTCACAAAAAAATAACAAATTAGCTGGGTGTGGTAGTCTGAGCCTGTAGTTCTGCTACTCAGGAAGCTGAGATAGGAGGGTGGCTTAAGCCTGGCAGGTTGAGGCTGCAGTGAACTGTTATTGCTCCATTGCATTCAGCGTGGGTGACACAGTAAGACCCTGTCTCAAAAATAAAACAAAAGCAATTAAAAAGTCAAAGAAAAGCGAAAAAAAAAAAAAAATTAAAAAAAAAATTTTTTTTTTCTTCCCCAGCCTGCTCAGCAGGAAAAAAATTTTTTTTTTAAAGATGGTATTGGCAAGGTGCTCCATGACTGTGAAGGGAAGTACTTCAAAATGCAGCATGCCAAGGAAAGTGGTGTTTTAAAAATTGGTTTTAATGTGTATGAAATGCATATAAAATGAAATGGCTTAGAAAAACATAAATAATAAACTTGGGCACTTCTGAACTCTCTACAACAAAGAATCTCCTTACCTACGAATAATTAAGTGAATAAACAAAGAATCTCCTTACCTACGAATAATTAAGTGAATAAACTAAGTCAATACCCAAAACTTATCTTTCCTTATTCCTGTTTTCGATCCACAAAACAAAATCCCTTTGTGTATCAGACAGCCTGTAGTGCCAGATTCAATTCATTTTGGAACATGAGCCCCATGCCTCTCTCGGAGTTTCTCATCTGCTAGCTGGTAAATCTGACCGGGCAGGGCAGCACTGGTGCATAGTATAATGACAAAGAGAGGAAGTGATCCCAAGACAAGGCGAGACTCCCAGACAAAGGATGGAGAGGAAAGTGCTTTTATCGACTGCTTTGTCACCAGTCTAGTGTTTGAATCTGTACCTTTTTGTCCTAGTTCAGAGCTGCCAGACACACTGGAAGGTCTCCCACCCAACTGGGGTTCAAGAAGGTTCCCTGTGTTCAGTTACTGGCTGCTTTGTTTAACAGTTAATTCCAACAGCCAATCAGACAATTCTAGACACTTTTGGTATCTCCTGGAGCTCTGGCCCTACTCCAACGACTGCTAAAAATGACAAACACACCCATGGTTCCACTTCCCCAAAGCCCCTCCAAAAAAAACCCGAACTGGATTTCAGTTTTGTGATACTCACAGAATGATCCAGTCTTTAGGGAACAATAAAAGCAGCTCAAATTATACCTCATTGTGACATGAAAAAAGGGATAAAGAAAAATGGTACACAGAAGTGCTAGTAAGAGGAAACCAGCAGTCATGACAGCTCTGCCCCAGTTCCTTTCTTCAAATGTGGGCTTCAGTGTAGGGTTGGTGCTCTACCCTGACTCCCTTGGCTCTGCCTTTTCTTTGAAGATGGCTTCTGCACTGAATGGCTGATTGCAGTTAAGGTGAAAGCTCTCATCGTTGCCCGAGTACCTTCCAATTTGGTTAAGTTCAGAGATAACAAGTCTAAGGAATTTACAAAAGGGAACATTAATTTGTGCAAGAATATTTTAAACATCTATTGAGTGTCAGGCATGGGCTTCTTCAGGGAGCTTGAAGAGTTTGCAGCAAAAAAGAAAAATGAAGATGTGCACAAACAGGATACGTGCCATAGCTGAGGATGGATAACATACTACAGAGCAGGGGTTCTCAAACTTTCTATGCCCCTCAACTTCCTGGAGAGCATGCTGTCAGACTTGAAACTTACATGCTACTGAGTGGCCTCCTTCATGACTAGATCTGGTCAGCATACCCCCTCCTCCAGCTTCCACATTGAACCCAAACCAAGACAGACTATCTGCAGGGATGGCATGTTCAACTCTGCAACAAGGCCTGTGGCTGGATCAAACAATCACAGATTAAAACTAGAAGATATAGCCTACAGTCCCAGCTACTTGGGAGGCTGAGGTGGGAGGATTGCTTGAGCACAGGAGCTGTGTCCAGCTTGTGCAACATGGGGAGATCTCATCTCTAAAAAACAAAATAGGCTGGGCACAGTGGCTTGCGCCTGTAATCCCAGCACTTTGGGAGGACGAGGCAGGTGGATCACCTGAGGTCAGGAGTTTGAGACTAGCCTGGCCAACATGGCGAAACCCCGTCTCTATGAAAAATACAAAAAATTGGGCCGGGTGTGGTGGCTCACGCCTGTAATTCCACACTTTGGGAGGCCAAGGTAGGCAGATCACCTGAAGTTGGGAGTTTGAGACCAGCCTGACCAACATGGAGAAACTCCGCCTCTACTAAAAATACAAAGTTAGCCAGGCATGGTGGCGTGTGCCTGTAATCCCAGCTACTTGGGAGGCTGAGGCAGGAGAATCGCTTGAACCCGGAAGGTGGAGGCTATGGTTAGCTGAGAAAGCACAATCGAACTCCAGCCTGGGCAACAAAAGCGAAACTCCATCTAAAAAATAAATTAGCTGTGTGTGGCTATGGGCGCCTGTAATCCCAGCTACTTGGGAGGCTGAGCTGGGAGAATTGCTTGAACCGGAAGGCAGAGGTTGCAATGAGCTGAGATCATGCCATTGCATTCCGGCCTGGGCAACAAGAGTGAAACTCCATCTCAAAAAAAAAAAAAAAATTAGTTGGGTATGGTAGTGGGCACCTGTACTCCCAGCTACTTGGGAAGCTGAAGTGGGAGTATTGTATGAGGCTGGGAGTTCAAGATCAGCTTGGGCAACATAGTTAGAATCCATCTCTCTTTGTTTTGTTTTTGATATGGAGTCTCACTTTGTCACCCAGGCTGGAGTTCAGTGGTGTTCATCTCACTGCAACCTCCACCTCCCGGGTTGAAGCGATTTTTCTGCCTCAGCCTCCCAAGTAACTGGGACTACAGGCACGTGCCACCATGCCCAGCTAATTTTTTGTATATTTAGTAGAGACAAGGTTTCACCATGTTAGCCAGGATGGTCTCAATCTCCTGACCTCATGATCCGCCCGCCTCACCCTCCAAAAGTGTTGGGATTATAGGCATGAGCCACTGTACCTGGCCTATCTCTTTTACTTAAAAAAAAAAACAAACCCAAAAATAAAAGCCTAGATGTAGGAGGTGATACTGTGTCATCAAGAGCTCTCACTCTGGAGAGAAGAGGATGGTAAAGCCTTTGATTTCGTGTCTCTGAAAAGGATAAAGGATATTTGAGGCCGGGCATGGTGGTTCACGTCTGTAATCTCAGCACTTTGGGAGGCCGAGGGGGAGGATTACCTGAGGTCGGGAGTTCAAGACCAGCCTGGCTAACATGGTGAAACCGCATCTCTACTAAAAATACAAAAAATTAGCCAGGTGCAGTGGCACATGCCTGTAATCCCAGCTACTCTGGAGGCTGAGGCAGGAGAATCGCTTGAACCCAGGAGGTGGAGGTTGCGGTAAGCCGCAATCATGCCACTGCACTCCAGCCTGGCCTACAGAGCGAGACTTTCTCGAAAATAAAATAAAATAAAGGATATTTTAATCTATTTTCAGGAAAGCATGAGCTGTCAATCTCTGGACCTGCCTTATAAATGCCATTTATCTAAAATTCATTGTTTAAGCATTTTTTTTTTTTTGAAAGGTAAAGCACTAGTTTTCCTTAGCTACAACTTTCATGGTACGTCAACCTTGCAGAAACTTAATTAAAACTAACTGAAGGAACAGATGCAGAGACTAACTGAAACAGGGTGCTTTAGGAAAGATGATTGTTAAAAAAAAAAAAAGGAAAGATGATTGTTAAAGTGTTCACCAGCCAGTCTCACCATGCAAACTTTAGTGTGCATAAAAATCACCTGGGAGTCTTGTGAATTGTAATGCTGGTTCATTAAGTCTGGGGCGAGGCCTGAAGCTCTGCATTTCTTTCTTTCTTTTTTTTTCTTTGAGACAGAGTCTCGCTTTGTTGCGCAGGCTGCAATGCAGTGGCATGATCTCGGCTCACTGCAACCTCCACCTCCCAGATTCAAACGATTCTCCTGCCTCAGCCTCCTGAGTAGCTGGGATTACTGCCATGCACCACCATGCCTAATTTTTGTATTTTTAGTAGAGACAAGATTCACCATATTGGCCAGGCTGGTCTCGAACTCCTGACCTCAGGTGATCCACCTGCCTCGGCTCTGAAAGTGCTGGGCTTACGGGTGTGAGCCACTGTGCACAGCTGAGGCTCTGCATTATTATTATTTTTATTTTTTGAGACGGAGTCTCACCCTGTCCCCAGGCTGGAGTGCAATGGCGTGATTTCAGTTCACTGCAACCTCCGCCTTCCAGGTTCTACTGATTCTCCTGCCTCAGCGTCCCAAGCTGCTGGAATTACAGGCGTACCCCCCCACCACGTCTGGTTATTATTATTTGTGTGTGTGTGTTTTTAGTAGAGATGGGGTTTCATCATGTTGCCCAGGCTGGTCTCAAACTCCTGAACTCAAGCAATCTGCTCGCCTCAGCCTCACAGAGGTGACAGGGATTACTGTCATGAGCCACCATGCCCAGTCCGTTTCTTATTTATATAACATTTAAGAGGTTGAGACAAGAATTCAGGAGGGCCAATTACCTGCTTATTCAGTCTTGTCTCTTCCTTAATAAGGAGATGAAACCATAGATCTCAAAACAATGACCTAATAAACAGCTAAGAGCCAAACAACATTGAGGTTAAACAGACCAACATGCAATGTTGCAGCCTTGAAAAAACAAATTGGCCAGCAGGTGGTGCCAGAAGCTAAGTGAGGGGAGAATGATTTTCTGAGAAATGCTTAATAATAATTCATGTTTCAAAAACCTGTTTTGGGCTGGGTGTGGTGACTCACACCTGTAATCCTAGCAATTTGGGAGGCCGAGGTAGGCAGATTGTTTGAGCTCAGGAGTTTGAGACCAGCCTGGGCAACATGGTGAAACCCCCCTCTCTACTAAAGTACAAAAAATTAGCCAGGCGTGGAGGTGTGCGCCTTTAGTCCCAGCTATTTGGGAGGCTGAGGCAGGAGAATCATTTGAACCCGGGGGGCGGAGGTTGCAGTGAACTGAGGTTGCGCCACTGCACTCCAGCCTGGGTGACAGAGTGAGACTCCATCTCAAACAAACAAACAAACAAACAAAAAAGAGTGTTTTGCTGCTCTCTGTAAAATGGGAGTTAAGAAAGTAGCCTTTCTGTCTTTCACGTCTTCCTGTTAGCTCATCCTCCTGCTGTAGGTGCCTGAAATCCTTAAGGGCTGAAACCTCTCCAACGGAACCAACGAGTATCAGTGGTCAGGCTTGAAACAGATTATGCCATTTCCTAGACTTGAGGTTTTACAATGAAGATAAAGCGCGCTTCACTCACAGTGTTTGCAGATAGTTATTTCTCAAACAAGGAAAGCAAAATAGATTGAGCAGGAAAATACAGAGCTGTTATTAGCTGGGCATGGTGGCTCACGCCTGTAATCCCAGCACTTTGGGAAGCTGAGGCGGGTGGATCACCTGAGGTCAGGAGTTCGAGACCAGCCTGGCCAACATGGTGAAACGCTGTCTCTACTAAAAATACAAAAATTAGCTGGGTGTGGGGGCAGGCACCTGTAATCTCATCTACTTGGGAGGCTGAGGCAGAAAAATTGCTTGAACCCAGGAGGTGGAGGTTGCAGCGAGCTGAGACTGCGCCACAGCACTCCAGCCTGGGCAACCAGAGTGAAACTCCATCTCAAAACAAAAAAAAAAACAACAGCAGAGAAAACAAAGGAAATGCAGAGCTGTTGTCTTTGATTTTGGGGGACAGGAGGAAAAAAGACTACTCTAGGTCTGGTCTAAATTTAACAGGCTTAATGCTTGAAAGCTTAATGCTGCAGAATTCAAGAGACAGCTAATGAAGAGGAAAACATTTACTTCACACAATCTCGTTCATTTTAATTTTATTTTTGAGCCGGAGTTGCGTCCTTGTCACCCAGGCTGGAGTGCAATGACATGATCTCGGTTTACTGAAACCTCTGCCTCCTGGGTTCAAGCGATTCTCCTGTCTCAGCCACTCAAGTAGCTGGGACTACAGGCACCGCCATCATGCCCAGCTAATTTTGTATTTTTAGTAGAAACAGGGTTTCACCATGTTGGCCAGGCTGGTCTCGAACTCCTGACCTCAGGTGATGTGCCCACCTCGGCCTCCCATAGTGGTGGGATTACAGGCGTGAGCCACCATGCCCTGCCCCATTTATTTTTTTTAAGCAGAAAACTTTGAATCTGCAGAATTACACCCGTCCTATTTGTGTGTATCATATTTCTTCTTCTTCTTCTTCTTTTTTTTTTTTTTAGCCAGAGTCTCGCTCTGTCACCCAGGCTGGAGTGCAGTGGCTCAATCTAGGCTCACTGCAACCTCCACCTCCCAGGTTCAAGCAATTCTCCTGCCTCAGCCTCTTGAGTGGCTGGGACTACAGGTGCATGCTGCCACGCCTGACTTATTTTTTGTATTTTTAGTAGAGACAGGGTTTCACTGTGTTGCCCAGGTTGGTGTCAAACTCCTGAGCTTAGGCAATCTCCCTGCCTTGGCCTCCCAAAGTGCTGGGAGGCATGAGCCACCATGCCCGGCCCCATATTTCTTCAATTTATAACATCTAACAGAATCTTAATAATTTATCAACTACACTACTAAAACAGAAACATATTAGAAAAGCAGCAATAACAACACAGTATATTTTCTTCTAAAAGTCCCAAAGCCTATATTACTATTAATGATGCCTTGTATTTGTTTAGGACTTAAACATATCCAAACCAAAGCAGTTTCTTTTTTTTTTTTTTTTTTTTTCTGAGACAGGGTTCCCCTCTGTCGCCCAGGTGGAGTGCAGTGGCATAAAAATGGCTCAGTGCAGCCTTGATCTCCTGGGCTCAAGCAAGCCTCTTTGCCTCAGCCTCCCCAGCAGCTGGGACCACTGGTGTATGCCACTACACCTGGCCAGTTTTAAATTTTTTGTAGAGACAGGGTCTTGCCGTGTTGCCCAGGCAGACTTCGAAATCGTGAGCTCAAGCAATCCTCCTGCCTCACTCTCCCAAAGTGATGGGACTATAGATGTGAGCCACCACATCCAGCTGCAAAGGACTTTCAAATACATTATTATATTTAATACAAATAAAGAAAATAAGAGAGGCACACTTCCTGATTATCTCAGGAAGATCTATCTTGGAAGACGATTAGGTTTTCAATTTTTGAAATTAAATTATCCTTTCTATAGTTTGTTTCATTACCTTTCGTAATAACTCCGGATCTTTTTCCAATTCCTTAGGCAATGTTAGCTCCTTTTCCTTAACTTTTTATTTTTTTTAATTCTTATTTATTTATTTATTTATTTTTTTTGAGACGGAGTTTCACTCTTGTTACCCAGGCTGGAGTGCAATGGCGCCATCTCGGCTCACCGCAACCTCCGCCTCCTGGGTTCAGGCAATTCTCCTGCCTCAGCCTCCTGAGTAGCTGGGATTACAGGCACGCGCCACCATGCCCAGCTAATGTTTTGTATTTTTAGTAGAGATGGGGTTTCACCATGTTGACCAGGATGGTCTCGATCTCTTGACCTCGTGATCCACCCGCCTCAGCCTCCCAAAGTGCTGGGATTACAGGCTTGAGCCACCACGACCGGCAACTTTTTATTTTTTAAATTTTATTTATTTAGTTTTTTGAGACAAGAGTCTCACTCTTGTCTTGCCCAGGCTGGAGTGCAGTGCCATGATCTTGGCTTACCACAACCTAGACCTCCTGGGTTCAAGCAATTCTCCTGCCTCAGCCTCCCAAGTAGCTGGGATTACATTAGCTACCATGCCCGGCTAATTTTTGTATTTTTAGTAGAGACGGGGTTTCACCATGTTGACCAGGCTAGTCTCCAACTCCTGACCTCAAGTGGTCCAGCTCCTCGACCTCCCGAAGTGCTGGGAGTACAGGAATGAGCTACCACGCCCAGCCAACTCTCTCTTTTTAAAAAGATTAGTCAGGTACAGTAGAGAAGAGGGAGAGTAGAACAAGGAGTTTGATCTGTGACTATAAACAATCAATTAAGATAACTTACTACTTAAAAAAAGAAAAACAAAAAAAAGATAACTCTCTGCTATTGGACCAGCCTGACTTTCTCTATTTGACGACTTCTCTCATTTCTTCTTTTGTCCCAGAAAGGCCCTACTGCTGAGGAGTGTGAGCTCTTTGGCCAACAGATCTGCATTCGGTGGGCAACTTTGGCCCTATTTCCTCATCTGTAAAATGGAGACACTACTATCTAGAGTGAGAACAAAATCATACATGTTGCCACAGATGTAAAGCACTTAGTGCTCACTAAATGGCAGCATGTCAGATCTCTCAATTACAAGGCTGAGGAACTTTGGAATGACACACCACATGCGCTGTGGTCTTATGACACAAACCCAATCTGGGAACTGATTATTTCACGGGCCTTTGTTTTAGCGCTTAGGGTGAAAAGGCATCTAGAACAGTGGCTTGCCAATTATTTTACTTGGTACAGTAAGAAGTACTTGAAAACCATGGCATTACTGAAAACATGCTATTTGGTGGGGTCATAATTCTGGTCTGTGAAATCAAGTACCAAGGAGATCATTGTGATGCCAAAAAAAAAAAGGCCTGACTTCCCAGGAGGCTCATGCTGAAAGATAAAACCATCTTCAATGAAGCAAGTCCTAGTTTAAACAAATATCTTCTGGAATTATGTAATATAATAATAATAATAAAAAAAAAGGCAGGAAATACCAAATTTGCAGTTTAAAAATTGCCAGGTGCAGTGGCTCATGCCTGTAACCCCAGCACTTTGGGAGGCTGAAGCAGGATGCTGACTTGAGGTCAGGAGTTCGAGACCAGGCTGTGCAATATGGCAAAACCCCATCTTTACTAAAAATACAAAAAATAGGCCGGGTGTGGTGGCAGGCACCTGTAGTCCTAGCTACCTGGGAGGCTGAGGCAGCAGAATTGCTTGAACCCGGGAAGCAGAGGTTAAAGTGAGTTGAGATCGCACCATTGCAGTACAGCCTGGGTGACAGAGGGAGACTCTGTCCCCTCGCCACACAAAGAAAGTAAAAAATAAAAATAGGACTGGGCGAGGTGGCTCAAGCCTGTAATCCCTGTAATCTCAGCGCTTTGGGGAGGACGAGGCCGGCGGATCACAAGGTCGAGATATCGAGACCATCCTGGCCAACACGGTGAAACCTCGTCTCTACTAAAATACAAAAATTAATTGGGCGTCGTGGCATGCGCCTGTAGTCCCAGATACTTGGGAGACTGAGGCAGGAGAATCGCTTGAATTCGGGAGGTGGAAGTTGCAGTGAGCCGACATTGTGCCATTGCACTCCAGGCTGGCGACAGAGCGAGACTGCCTCTAAATAAATAAATAAAATAAAATAAAATCAAAATAACTGGTAGGTATACTTAGGAAGCTCCACGGAGATGGAACGCCTCCTGGCAGATGCGTTATTCCAAGGGCAAATCCATTTCCTGTGTCGTGGAGGCCTAAGTGATAGTCCCAGGGAAGTCCCTTTACGGTGAGCCAGGACTCCTGGAGGAAAATCTAGGGGCTGGAAGGACCTTAAAGGTAGCTAGGATGAAGAACGTGGCCTGCACAGTGCGCCTGAAATAAGCTGGGAACTCACGGGAAGGAGAGCGGGTTCCTTGGAGTCCTTTAGAAGTAGGACGCGGTGGCTCACGCTTGTGATCCCACCAGAGCTTTGGGAGGCCGAGGAAGGAGGATCGCTTGAGGTCAGGAGTACGAGACCAGTCTGGGCAACACAGTGATGCCCCCTCCATCTCTTAAAAGAAAAAATCTCCACAAAAGCCCAGCAAGGGCAGTGCTGACCCCTACTACGTGCCAGACCTGAAACAGCACCTGATGCGTGTTCACAGCTCCATTCCGCTCCATTAAGTACGTGAAGATCTTTCCGTTTCGCCTTGGGCCTCCGTGGAACGGTTTTCTCCAAGACGGTAGTCTCTCCTCTCCTCTGCCCTGAGAGCTTGAACAGCCCCAGAGCCGACCCCACCCCACAGCCAGAGGAGCCTCAGGTAAACTGGCTGCGCCACTCGGGATCGCAAGCCGGGAAAAACCGAGCGTCCAGGCTCCCAGTCCTCTCTCCGGAGCCCTTGACAGTCGTGGGCAGCCGTAGGGTTACCTGGCTTATTCGCGGAAGCTTACCTGGTCTCAGCACCGGACTCTTTCCTTCGACGTTTTAGGGGAACCCGAATCACCGCAGCAAAGGACTGTCAATTGTGTTCCCCGAGCTGCGCACGCGCTGTACTCTGGTCGCGGTTTCCCTCACCTGCCAGAGGCTCAAGTTTACTAACTGCGCATGCGAGAAACTGAGGCTTCTTTCCCGCGTGGCCGCGTCAAGCTCTCAGAGAGCCAATCAGAGAAGAGACTTTAACAGTAATCCCTCCCCCTCGTCACTCCCCTGGGGTTGGACATCTCTCTTTGGCTGGAGCTGCGCTAGAAGGAAGGACGAGGTGGACGCGCGCGCCAAGCTGGGTCGTCTCCCCCACTTCCGGGCAGCCAATCAGTGGGGAGACGCCGGACGCGCGCACGCTCCTTCGAGTTTAACGGTCGCGAGAGGCCGCTGGCCTGAATCTGACATTTGCAGCGGGAGCGGCTGCCAGGTAAGAGGCCGCCGGCCTGCAGGGAGCTGGAGGCCGCGGGGGACAGGGGACGAGACTTAGGAGACACGGTGTTAGCGGTCCCGAGTGTGGTGATGGGCTGGGGTGTGGGGTAGACGACGGAACCCTGCAGCGTGTGGGAGCTCTGGTCTTCTGCGGTGCGCCTTTTCTAGACTCTGCGCCCTTGAGTGACACTCGTGCGACCCAATCGCAGAGCGCCCTTTCCGAGGGGCGGGGGGGGGGTTGATAGGATTTTTCTTTTCCCCCTATTTTTTGACGAGATGTCCCGGCTTCCTCTTGGAATCGCTGTTGTAGTTGCATGAGCGGTGGCTTTTCCCCGTGTTCCCTGTTTTCCGTAGCTTAGGCGACTGCATGGATTCTCCCTCTCCTTCTCACTTTGACCCGATAGCCGCCCCCAGCCCTTGCGGGCTGGCTATGAACGCCAGAATGTCCAGGATCTGTCCTCATCCCCATCTGAAATCTCTCCTCCTGGCGAGGCAGAGCGCCCAGTTAACTTTCATATTTCATAACCACTAATCGTTCCTTTTCTCCAGCTCCTTTATTTTTATTTATTTATTTATTTATTTTTTTTGCTAGGGGCTGGGGACACCAAAAGCGTCATATTTTGTTGCTGGGAAATATAAAAATGTCTCTCTTCTTATATTCATTCTGTATCAAGTTAAAAAAAATTTTTTTTTGCCGGGCGCGGTGGCTCAAGCCTGTAATCCCAGCACTTTGGGAGGCCGAGGCGGGTGGATCACAAGGTCAAGAGATCGAGACCATCCTGGTCAACATGGTGAAACCCCGTCTCTAGTAAAAATACAAAAAATTAGCTGGGCATGGTGGCGCGTGCCTGTAATCCCAGCTACTCAGGAGGCTGAGGCTAGGAGAATTGCCTGAACCCAGGAGGCGGAGGTTGCGGTGAGCCGAGATCGTGCCATTGCACTCCAGCCTGGGTAGCATGAGTGAAACTCCGTCTCAAAAAAAAAAAAAAAAAAAAAAAAAATTTTTTTTTGCATTGTATATGTGGGTGTTTAAGGATTTTTTTTTCCTCTTAATTCCCTGCCCTCCCCTAGCACCTCCACCCCAATGGAGAAGCCTCCTTGAATTTCTGGTGGTTTTCCATCTGGATCTGCATCCGGATCCGGATTACCTCAGCAGGGGAAATAATAGATGGGGTTGCAGGTCCATCTCCCTGGAAAGCTGTGTGGTTTCCTGGTAGAGCATGGTGATTGGAATCCAGGTATTTCTGTTGCCATTTGGAAGGCAGTCCTTGACTATTTCAGTGCCCCGTTTGTCATGGGTGATGGGCTGAGCCACTGGGGAAAAGTTCATTTAGTTAGGTCTGGTTACCCTTTGCTTTCACTCCTGTCCCTGAAAGAAATGGTCCCTATTTTAGTGTGGTGCTTTATAAACGCAGGCCCTAGAAAGTAGGAATCTAGCGGAAGCAGAATACTAGACAATAGTCCTGTTGCTCTAAGCTTTTTAGTTTGTAAGCAGCTGAAGTTGTCTTTTCTTTTTTTTTCTCCTTTTTCTCTTGTTCCCTCGATTTTTTTTCTTTTTTGAGACAGTTTCCCTCTTGTTGCCCAGGCTGGAATGCAGTGGTGCGATCTCAGCTCACCACAACCTCTGCCTCCCGGGTCGAAGCGATTCTCCTACCTCAGCCTCCGAAGTAGCTGGGATTACAGGCATGTGCCACCATGCCCTGATAGTTTTGTATTTTTAGTAGAGGTTGGGTTTCTCGGTTGGTCAGGCTGGTCTCGAACTCCTGACCTCAGGTGATCTACCCATCTCAGCCTCCCAAAGTGCTGGGATTATGGGCGTGAGCCACTGCGCCTGGCTCCTTGCTCTTTTTTTAAATGCATGAACTCCCCGGGAAGCAGGCATCTTGTTTGGCTTGTTACAGCCAATTTGACATGGTATATGTTCAGCTTCAGTGAAGTTTTAGTTGGCCTGGCAAATAATTTATTTCCTGGTTTTTTTTTTTTTTTTTTTTT